CTGCTCTCTCAAAGAAGTCAAGTATGCGTCGTCCCACAGTTTTCAGAAACATTCTGTGACTTCCATCGACGAACGTAGTGCTTCTTATGCTTGTTTCCTCGTGCAAAGTTGAAGCGCTTGCCTTGGTGGCAAGAAATTGGGGTGTTCCGTGTCATCGTTTTCGTTTACCATGGGATACGAGATGGTGGTTTGTTTCTAGATAAAGTCATCCGGAAGTATGAAACTGATTTCCTCCGGATATTCTTCCTGGTACGTCAAAGGGCGGCCATTGAGGCATCCTCCGATTTCGGTGAGAATTGAACTTAGTGGTCTTCGTCGACAATTCTTCTCCCTAGAGCTCTTTTGAGTGATAACTTGATATCCTTGATGAGTCGTTCGTGAAACTCAGCCTTCCAGGGGGCATAGGGGGTGATCTTTATCCACCTGATGCCTGCATTGGTCATGAAAGTGCTCAATTGCTCCTCTGGCTGTGAGTGTTCATCGTCGTTGGTTAGGATTGTCTGCCAAGAGAAATGTGGGTGCATTGTCGACGTAATTGAGTTAGGTACTCCACTTCGTGACATGAACCTCCGCAATGCGTTGATGAATGGGATTGTTGTGTTGTCACTAATGAGTTCAATGTGTGGTAGGCGTGTTGTAGAGCAAGCGAAAANACATCCATACAGTTTCGTTTCGATTCCGTTCGTATTCCGGCTCCTCAGCGGGCCGAATAGATCGAGTCCGATGTCTTGGAATGGTCTTGAACGTACGACTCGTCTGCGAGGCAACTCGGCTAATGGTGGGTATCGATACGGAAGGTTATTCGTTTTCTGGCACTCTATGCACTTTCTTAGAATCTTCTTCACCTGTTGCCGGAGCTTCGGGATCCAGTATTTTTGTGCGGACTTCCATCATTGTGTGTGCGGTTGAGCGATGCAATCTCCCATGCGCTTCTCGGATCATCAGTTGAGCTAACGTGGTATTAGGGAAAATGAAGATCGGATTCTTCGCATCTTCTGGTAGAAAGCTCTTGCCCAGAATTCTGTAACATCTTCAAATTTCTTTTTCGTCTCGGTGCATGTTGAGCTTTTGTCGTTAAGACATTGTTTTCTCGTTGATTTGGCTTTGATGTAGTTTGATGATCCATCCCCAAGCGTTTTTAGTGCACTTGACGTGATGAGGTTGGGATCGTTGTCTTCCTCACAGATAGCGATTGTTTCAGTGACTCTTTCTTTTGTTACCGACGGTAGGTGGGATGAAGAGTTTTGGATGAATTGGAGCACTCTGGCTATAGGTCGTCTCAGCTTCATCGCTGAGCTTTATCGGGTCGAATCGATGAGGACATTTTCTGGTGTAGAAGTTGCGATCTGGAGATGTTCGTGATCTGTTTGTGGTGTGTGTTCGAAGAGCTTTGCTTCCGTTGNCCAGTTGTGTGTACCTTCGGACAGAAACGGCCAACCGACCCAACAAAAGTGGTTCATCAGTTGTTCAGCGCTTAGTCCACGTGTAGCGCATCGGCTGGATTCCACTTCGTGTTTACATATCCGAAGTACACTTTAGTTTCGTCGGTTTGTAATTTTTCCGCGATTCGTTTTATTTCTTCGACTCTATTGGCCACTAACACTCCTGTGATTTTGGTTTCCTCCATAAATTTAAACCATCCAAGTGCTATTTCTGAGTCGGTGAGAATGTAGACGGCTTTGATTTTTGTTGTTTTTCCTTGAGTTCTTCATAAGTGGATACGTGAGTCGTGTCGCTACGGTCAGCGCGTTTATCTCGAGCTTTGGTACCGTGTGCACTGCTTTGAGTGACGGTAACTTTGTCTCTGCTTGAATTAGCCAGTGTTTTCCTCCTTCTTGATGTACGTACGGGCTGCCATCGTGTGTGTATTAGCATGGTTGAGGGTGATGAGTTCATGTTGGTCCTCTTTGTTGGCCACTTGTCTGGTAATTTGCTTGTGGAATCCCTCCCTCGGAATAGTTTCTCCCATGTCGCTTGGTTTTTTTATGAAAGTGTGTCATCCCATTTGTACGACTCGGTCCATAGTGATTGGAAGAAATACTTGGCTCTAACCATCAGTGGGGATATCCATCCTAGTGGATCATATACTGATGCTATGGCGTGCAGAACTGTCCTTTTTGTGATCAGATCGTGTGGCTGCACATTACATTTGGCGTAGTGTTCCAGTTGATTTCGAGAACTTTGACCGATGTTGATGTCCATTTGTCTTTATCGTCGAATTGCGCCCTTACGTTGGGATCATTGGATGCGAATTCTCACATGTTTACATTGAGTTCGTTGAAGATTTTTACGGCTTCCTTGTACTGGCAGAGTGCTTTCTGTCTTGTTTCAGCCGTCAAGTGTAGATTGTCGACATGCATATTATCTTCGATGCAATTTTAATGTCGTATGTCGATGTCTCCAAATGGAAATTTATTGTTGCGGCGAGCAAGAAGGGTGAGGCGTTCAAGCCAAAAGTTACTCTGGTGAATCTGTATGTGACGATGTTGTTCTCTGCCAACGGTCTCCATAGGTCCTTTATCCATAGGAAGCGCGTTGCGTCACAGTCTGTTTCGTGTAGTCTTACTTGCAAAAGCACCTTTTCGATGTCAGCTGTCATTACAATTCTTCCTACACGAAAGCGTGCGAGCATTCCACTGAGGTTCGGTAATATTAACGGACCTTGGTGGAGAACTTCGTTGAGCGATGGTTAGCCAGAATAATGAGCTGATGCATCAAAGACAATCCTTCTTGGAGTAGTTTTCTTTCCTGGGGTAATGACGACTCGATATGCAAGATAGTGTATAATAGCATCACATGGTGTCACCCCTTTTATTTCCGGTGTGACTTCCTCTATGATGCCCTTTTGTAGTTTTTCTTCGAACGTCTTTTGAAATTATTGGAGGAGTTGATGTTGGTGGTTATACTGTTTCAATAGACTTTTCAGTCTTGCCATCGCTATGCTCTTATTATTGGGTAGACGAGGATGTTGACCCTTCAATGGTAATCGTACGTGGTGGCCGTCGTCCTTTCTTACCCTTGTTTCTTTGAATCTCTTTATGACCTTTTCCTCGATAATTTGTTTCTCCACCTTTTCCGGGCCGGTGTTTACATCAATTCCTGATGACTCCATACGCCAGTAGTTGTCCCTCGTATCGACTTCTTCATGTACCTGTTGTACGTCACAGTTTCCTTCTAGTTTCTGAGTAGTTTGTCGTCCTGAGAGCATACATCCGAACTTGGTGTCGATCACATGCATTCCTGATGGTAGTTTGCATTCTTTGCCTCCCATCATTTCCTATAAATGGTCGGATCCGAGTAAGATCTGTGCTTGACCTTGGTCTTCTGGTGACGATGACAAAGAGAAACCTCGTTGCTCGAAACGTTATGTCTCCTTGAGTGAGTTGATGACAGCTCCTTGTAGTAGCAATCAATGGGCTGTCAAGTAGTTCACATGTGTACTTTTTCCTTGTTTGCCCTTCAGGTTTACTAAATACCACAATGCGATGTTGGCTCTCCTTGGCCGACGCTGTCCCGAGTCTTCAGTCTCAGTGTGGTCTTTCCTTTAATGGGTAATTCCAGTTCGTCAACGAATGTCGAATCGATGAATGAAAGCTCGCTCCTTGTGTCCATTAATATGCGGACTTGTTTGGCACTCCTTGGCCCTTGTACTGTTGTAGTTCCTGTCAGAAGCAGNGCGCCTGCCTTTTGGGTTTTTCTGCCATGAAATGGTATACCTGACTGTCTTCCTCCGGACTACTGTGTCTTTCTTCCCTCTCGGAAGTTATGACATTTTGACCGACTTGGCGAGCTGTACCTTCTGTCCTGAGTCTATTTTGCCTCTGCGTACCACTTGGCTGAGCTTGAGATCTTGGTAATGGTGGATTCGTTGGTTGCGACGTTCTTTCCCGTGTGGGGGTAGATCTGCTTTGAGCTTGTTGATTGTAGCTACATAGTGAACAATGATGTTTCCGCCCACACTTGAGGCATCCTGGGCTCCTGCACTCTTCGGCATTGTGGTTGGGTATTCCACAGTTATGGCACAACTGTTTCCTCGTCAAGAATGCTGTGCGTTCTTGCTGCAGCACTGTCCTGCATTCTATAGAACGATGGCCGCTCCTTTTGCAGTAGATGCATTCTGCTGCAGAGGCGGTCAAGTGATGTCCTACGTTGGACGAATTGAATACTTTTCCTCATAGATCCTTGATATCTTTCAATCCTTTCTTTCGAATCGATGATCACTGAGAGGTGTTGGCGTAGTGTTGACCACGTCCACTGGTTGATGTCTCCGAGATTTTCCCGCTCTTCGAGCGCTTTCGCTTGATTATCACTGTTAAATTTCCTCAAAACTGTGTTTACAATCGAACGATGGTTAATATCCTGACCTTCTGTGAATAGCTGCATCGATAACATCGTAATTCGTTTTAATAAATCAGCTTGTTGTCTTGTATTCGACCCATCGGCACAAATTTGTTCGAGTTGAGCAAGTAGTTCTTCAACTATAGGGCTGTTTGAGCCATACTTCTTTTTCAGAAGATCGATAACTAGGGTAGTTTTCTTACTCTTCTACCTATAACTTCGAATTAAGCTGCCGTTTGTCGGGCACCTCCAACTAGGGATTGAAGTAGGTAATTGAGTGCATCATCTCACTTATAGGCTGATCGTCAATACTTGATTTGAATCTAGCCTAAAAGGAATCCCATTTCTGCCGTTTTCCACTGACATTTGGCAATTGCAGACGCGGTGGGAACGTTTGTGCTTGCACTGGTATCTAGTCGAACCTTGCCTCGACTATCTTGACGATATGGCTTGCGTGTCGTTAGCTCTATTCAATTGAATTCTTCTTGTGGTTGCTCGAGGTAAGCTTTCCAGAGTATTGCTGATCACCACTTCCTTTTCCTTCATTTTTGCAAGCGTTGTCTCTGCTGACGTGATCGGTTCCCATGCTGCTTCTGTATAGGCTTCTTCCTCGTGCGTTTATTGGTCCTGTTCCATACTATCGAATGCGTCGTGGAACTTCGTCACTGCGCCTTCCAGAGACATCTTAGCTTCTTCTATATTTTGCAGCCGTTGATGGAGCGTCCTTTTCTTTGCCGTGAGATGATCTACTGTTTCTTCGTCGTTGTCGAGCCTCGTTGGAGTATAAGTCATCCAATGTTGGGAGTCTCGCAAGAGTTCGTCCAGTAACTTCCCCAGTTTTGTTAGCCGTGTTTCGAGAGCTTTCAGTATGGATGTCATGTTAATTATAGTTGATGTTTTTTCTTTAATGATTTGTGCAGAAATTTTTTCTCCAATGAAATCCCCAAAACGGTAGAAAACGTGACGCAAAGTTGAATTCCAAACTTGTATAATAGAAATCGTAACCACTAGTAAATAAGGGTCGTAGAAAAGGAACTGCCAATAAAGTCGAAAATGTAGGTAAGTGCTACTCGTTGAATAATAGTCATAAAAAGTAACCGCCAATAAAGTTGAAAATGTAGATAAGTGCTCACTTGACGATCCGATGGCTTCTTTTTCTTCTTCACGCGGCGGTCGATGCACCAAATTCTTTCCTCACATCTAGAGAATACGGCCGATGCACCAAAATTTCTTATGTGCTGGTCCTGCAAGGTTGGCCACGCCTTCGGTAGAAGCAAGTGGACGAGCTCAAATTCTTTTTTCTTTTGTGTGGATGCGGGTCCGATAGAAATGATTTCAGCGAAGAGGTACAATCGCCAGGCAGCAATATGACTTCAAAACGATGAGCATGAGGTAACAAATGACTTAACGGATTAGAATCTCATCAAACAGATTTCATGAACAACAATGTGCAACAACGTGCACAACATCAAAGAAATCCAAGAACCTGTGGGTCGGCGTGTCGAAGGCGGTTTGGTAGACGTGGGGTTTTTAGGCGCGACGAGGGGCTTTGGTGGTCATGGGGTTTTTAGGCCATGGGATTGGAAGATTAAAGGACGGAGTATGGGGAAGGGTGCGCGTCGACTGTAGGTAGATCAAAAGTAGTGCTCGATTCGAGCACATGGACAGCAAAGCAAGAACTCCATCATCTCGGTTCGTACTTCAAGTATTTGGTGTTGATACAAAACAGTAACGAGCATAGGTGTATCTTAGAAAGCTTTCACTGATTGGCTTGCTCGCGGTTTCAATATGTACAAGGTGCCCAGAGCACTGACTTTGTATAGGAGCACTGCTGAGTGTATGTTTCAATGATGGCTACTTCTGGCACCCGAACAGGGGGCTGCGTCAAATCTATCGTGCCAAAAGTATGGAATATTGACAAATTCAGCTACATCATTTACCCATTGCTTGGAATTCTGCATCAGTACCGACAGCGTGGGAATCAGGTGAGAGCTAGCGATCATGCAACGATCAGCGACAGTTTTGATGGCGGTACAGCATTCTCTTCGTTTTCTAGTACAATAATCCACGTCATCAGCTTCCGCATCTCCTCCGACAGATTTTTTAAGGTCCGTGAGCGCGGGCTCTCAGATTCTTCTCCAGCATGTTTTCCGTAAAATCCGGGTGTTATTCTTCACTATGAACTGCGATACAGTTCCATTGAAAAATTTCAAAAAGGTTATCATCAGGCTATCAAGGAATTGATCTGATATGGGCGTCACGCTAAATACATCTATATTAGCTTGCTCCTAGCGTCCTGAGCAGCTATAATCATCCCTCCGAAAGACATCAGCTCTGTGAGAGACATCATTTGTCTAGAAATCCTATCCATTGGAGCTCACCTCCCACTTGATAGGACTTTCAATCTTTGTTGCCCTGTGTTAAGCTCATCGTTTTAACAACGACTGTATCGTGCGCTGATAGAACCCCTAATTCCGGCAGTGATCTCCATAAGTCAATGCCGAGAATTTCGTGTTTTGGAGCTCGGGATGCTTCATTTATCAGAGCTACCTTGACTTCAGGGCCAAGGCAGTGTTAGCAGTATCCCATCTTTGGTTCGTAGATCGGCACTCACCAAGACCAAAGCAGCCTTTCATCCGCCCGGAACGGATACTTGGCACCAAAATTGTTTGAGAGGTCAAACAGTACTGAAATGTACATGCTTTTTACAGCAAATCATTTTATTGGTTACGTATGCATTCAAAGTGCAACTACGGCTGTGAATGGAAGTCGCGTGCGGGGCGCTTCCCAAAATCAAGATTGATTAAAGCCAAAGACTATCGTTTATACTTACACTACTTCTCCTCCCATATTCCACCGAAGACTCCAAAAAAGGAGAAAGCCGATAAAAAGCTCGGTTGCACAGTTTGAGAAGTAAAAGTCACATTTCACCGATGAACTCCTTATCCCATACTATAACATAAAAGTGTCATGGCCTCTCGCCATCATAAACAAACCATGTGGCGTTGGTTAAGACCTGAAGAGAGCCTTAGGTTTGTGATGAGTATCGCACCTTTATGGCTGACATCCACCTTGAGCGTATAGAGGTCGACAGCCAGCAGAGAGATTATATGATACATAACATAGGACTGAGATCCAATTATCAACTTTATTTGTGCCTCCCTGCAATCCAGACTTCACTCCCTTCACTGAGACTGCTGCTATGATCTATCACATGTATAACGTTTATGAGCGCATCTACAGTGTCTTTTGACATAGCGCCGACATCAGTTGGTCAGTCACAGTCTCAAGGATAACTTTCTGAGAAGGGAAGGATGCGAGGAGGTCGCAGTGGCCATTCAAGATGATATGTATGCCGACGTAAGTGTTCTCGAAGGCTGTTTTCAAATCTGGGTTCCATTTCTGCAAAACGATTCTGAGAGCAAAGTTGTGAGCCCTCTTCTCCCCGGGTGCTCCTTTTATACGCGACCCGAACATGCAGCGATGGCCGAGTTGGGAGGACGATGGACCGATGGGAGCGTCGGAGGTTCGAATCCTCGATTGATTTGATTGTTTTGCTCTTTTATAAAAAGTGTACTAAACGCTTGCAAAACACATTAATGCATTATATAGACTGCTTACAACCCAACCCTCCTTCATATTTACGGAGCACCAGAAATGATAATACAAGTGAAATTTTTTGTCGCATCCCTGCCGAATATATGTGCATATAGAACCAATCGCCTCCGGGCACTTAAGATTGGTCACAAAATCCAGCAGCTCCATGCAAGTTCGACAGAGGGCGGCCGGGCAACTCGTCAGACCATACCGGTTTCCGATGAAGTACAGGCTTCTCTAGAAATCTAAAATCTATGTACTAAACGCTTGCAAAACACATTAATGCATTATATAGACTGCTTACAACCCTACCCTTAATTCTTCTACGTACGATCGCGT